GGAAAATTAGTAGAGATAACAAGAAGGAGCACCGCATTGACGATTTGACACTTTTTTGCGCTTTATTTTCAATGCCATGCATTTGGCATGTCCGCATATTTTCCACCAAGTCGCTGAGGCGATCGGTCTTAAAAATCGCAAAAATTTTTAGATTACCTTTTATTGCACTAATCATTTATTCCCTCCAAATATTGACAAAGGTAAAATTCTTTTAGGCTTTTAATTAGTTTATCTGAAAAATCCGTGGTATTTGGTCGCTTTCGTTCATTTAACTGAGGCGATTTCGTAATATTCGGAGCAGTGCTTCTTCATCGGCCCTGAGAGGCCAGATGGTAACGAATCATGTCTCCTGCGATTATTGTTATCAACACAATTTGCACCTGCGTAAGCCCGCTTTTTTGTCTGCCGTGAGTTAAATTAATAGCGTACTTTATGTAGAAATTCCTTCATTTGTATTTTTTCTCAGTTGCCTGGACTTGTATCCCCTTTCCAAGAGTATGCGGAAATAGAGCCCTAAACCCTCTTGGCTACTACAACTTTAAAATTAAATTGTTTTCAGTTTCTCTTCACGGTACGAGTGTTGGCCTTTTGGCAGGGGCGCATTTATCATGTCTCGTAAGTGTGTTGTTACCAAAGTGTCTCGCACCCCAACCCCCCTCCCCCAGTCCCGGTTTACTTCCTGATGGGTTCGCCTTTGCACAAAGGCGAGGCCTAACCGCCAATTCGCATTTCCTGTGTGGACCCACTCCTGACCAAATATGTTAACAGAATCCATCAAACAGTTGTTCTCGAGTCCTCCAAGGTTTACATGGTGGGTCATCACATAAATAAAGTCGGTGCATGGCATGGCCCGCATATTTAGATACAGATTATGCGGCTCTTGTCAGCTTTTGTTATTAGTGCAGCAATATTCCAACATGGAAACCACTTGTGGAGAAGCTCTACTGTCCACCTAGATGGATCGCCTATTGGACAAATCGGCGCATTTGGTGAACACTTACTGCCTTAACCATTTATAAAGCATAGCACATATATCAGTTTAACGTCAGCGCAGCAGTGCCGCCAAGTTAATGAATTTTTTACACAGTTACACTGAGAAAATGGTACCCCGGGGTCTGAAACAAGAACACGTAATAGTTAGTGCTTTTGTCTAGGCAATAAAAGTGCTCCGGACGAGTCAAAATTGGAGACGAGGCATTCAAATTTCATTTATTTAGAAACTGAGTCTGAAAACGATGAAGTTGGGGAAAAGAATTAGAAGTTTAAATTATCATGAGATAAAAATTGGCTTTGGTTCAATGTCAACTAGAACTGTGAAGGAATACTAAGGCAAGTCGGGTATGTTGAAATGGTCACTGAAAACGGTAAAGACTGATTTGCCATCATTCACCAATTCACAATGACAAGCCACAACCGCTCATCGCCCAAATGACGTTCGACATGGACATGCCATTTTTGCCGTGCTGTTTGCAGAGGGAAATCACGAAACACGAGATTTAGTCTAAATATGGCACTCTTCTGGATTATATTCGTCAGTCAGCGCCTCCCAAGTGTGCTTAAGTCCACCAATCTAAAGTGGCATTACTGATCCACCTGTCTACAGTGAAAAACTGTGACTTTTTTGTTGGGGCTGAAAGAAGACGTCTGCTCGGATATGTGGAGTATCAGAGAGGCTCTTATTAAAGTGATAAGGCGTGCTCCTGTCAGTCTACTGTGTTTTGCTTTGTCTGGAAAACTAGCATAACTATTTCTATGAGATCTGTAAGTAGTAACTGCCATATAATTCATTGACTTCAAAAGAGAGAATAGTTCTTTTCTAGATACCACAAGAAAGATTGCTTCCTTTTGTATTTGTCGATTGTCTGTCTCGTAATCACCCTAGTTAATCAGAAACTTTGTGAAATAGTTGTCAGGGTTATGAATGAGACACTCGTTTTCGACACTACGATGCGCATGTATTCAACTGACGTAATTTAGCAGGCAAATTGTATCGCCAACGGTTGTACTGTAAATCGTAGTAATGCGCATCTCTCATGGTCTGGCCTGATGATATTCTTACTGATCACCATTAGTCATATGGTGCGGGTCAAGGTCAAATGTCTCAGCTGAGTTTGTCAACAGTAGACACTCGACCACTCCAGTCTCACGTACAAAACACACCAAAGCATTTCCTCCCCCTCCTCCTCCTCATCTCCTCCCAACATCATTATCATTAACATCCATAGCGTAAATATAAATCACGAGGGGAGTGTCCTTTACTCGGTAGGGGACGGTGTGCAGGTGCTGGGTTCACTTTTTGTTGGGTGGAGCGAAAAACCACATACTTCACGCCTCTATTATGCCATTTTCGAGACTTGAATATGGACGCGAGCCCGCATGATGTCTCGATCATTTACTGCCATTGTTTTCTGCCCAACGTAAGTAGGCGCGTCTTGTGTGTTTGGACGAACTGGAGATTGGTTGCCTGTTTTTGGTCTCCTATCCTCCTTATCCTCTTACTGGTTTAATACATGTATTCGCGTTTGTTGCTCCTTTTGTAGAAGTAAAGTTAAAAAAGCAAATCCTAAAAAACTGTCTTGTTGACCTTGAAAGCGGCCAATCAACAGCTGACCTTGACGCTGGTGTATCGAGGCCGAATGGTAGACATCCAAATATTTTGGTATGGCAATAACCTCGGAGCCTTTTTCCTATGATTCACTTAATTATTAGACGATTAGACAGGAAACTAAGGTGCACAGTTTCCAGACTTCCAAAACTTGCGAGTCGGAACATAAGTTGCTAGTGTAAATGCAAAAAACTTTGGTCTACTCTTCTGAGGAAAAAAACGCTGTTACGGCTCCTGACCTATATCGAATGAAATGTGAAGGGGAAGAAGAAGAATGTGGGGGAGGGGACCATTGTTCGGTTTTGTAAGTACTGCGGATTTACTCCGATGTGCATTGGTTCAGTCCATTATTTACTCCACTACACCCCAGAGCCAATCACGACGTGCGATTGCGGCTAAGGCATACAGCATTGTAAGGCACAAATACACACGCTCGTCGACATCGCGAAGTACACAATTGTCCCGGGGTTGATGCATGCACGCAGTCCAGAGTACTATGAACGGTACCCACTGCCACGGGAATGGCATTCGCAAGACAAAGTCGGAGGGCAGCATCTGCATCATACGAATGCTCATCTCATTTGACGACCGGGCAGTGATTAGGGGGGATGTTGAGTCAGTGCTGGTGAACAACCTCTTCCACTCCATGGGTCCCCCGACTCCCGCAACCGAGCGTACTCAATCCACTTCGCGTCGGCACTCCTTTGGCATGCATCACCTCCTCGGCGCCTTGAAACGACACAGGTCCTCTACTGGACCCATCCACGAGAAATTCTTCGAGCACCACAACCACTGCATCAACAACCACGGCCACTATCAACACTCTACCCACAAGATGGAGGAGTTCTCAGGTCAAGTGGCTCTTACAACCCATCACACGGGATTGCTTCTCAGCCTACCCAGCCCAGTGAAACCTGTTAAGACTGTACACTTTTTGGTGGGGAAACAGGAAGATTATGATTTGACAAATCACTTACAAGGAAGGAGGCGGAGTCGATTATTTACACGTCACAGTGTCAGTGCTACCTCGAAATCGCATTTAGTGGAGACTGCGAAAGCATCCGAGGAGGGTGATGTGATCGATTTTCCTCTGCGAAGGTCGATCTCCTTGGGACGGTTGATGGAGGATCAGAATAGGTGCATGGACGTGGTGTTCCAGCGCTCGGATAGCAGTCACTTTGAGATCTTCGGCTTGGATACCAAGCATATCCTTAGAAGGAAGATTCGTCGAGTGGCAAGGGGCTTCAACCTCACAGACATGCATTGGGTTTCGAAGAAACATTCAACTTCCAGTAGGGTGAGCCTGAAGTCCACCTCGAGCTACGAGACAACGATTAGCGGTGGGGTGACCCTCACGTCGTCTTCGCTGAGGATCCAAACGGATGTGAGTATAGCTGTAACCACTTCCACGCTGGCTTCCTGTTTACTACCCTCCATGGCAGAGTGTCTTGCGTCAGCGGTTGAGAGCTAACATGCCTCTGTTTACTAGCCAGTGGAGGCTGCATTTTGGCAATGGCTGATACCTGAAATGGGTGTCAGAGGGTTTGAGGCAGAGGAAGGGTAAAAGCGTCCCTTTTGATTTTCCCATTAGTCACCGATTTTGGTTTAGTCTGAAGATGCTGTAATGTTGGTAGCTCAAAACAAGGAATTAAATCAGGATTTAATGTACTTTTTGCCTTACACCGTTTTGCGACCTTGATTTTTATCTTCATAAAGCGTAAACACTTGTATGTTAGGCAAAATTAATTCCCTTTTAGCCGCCTTGTAAACGCTTCCTTGCTGGTACGAATTCTCATTGGGGGAACATCGGTTGTGCATTATGCAAAGTTCTTCTTGGGCACTTTGTATTGCTTGCGCTAAGGACTAAATTACGTCTTACAAGTCCTACTTCTTGTAAAGAAATATTCTTAAAAGAATTTGATGCATTACCGTTTCTCCCGATTTCCTCGAGGCTTGGATAAGTAACAGATGGATGCTCTGAATGGCTCATTTGCCTCCTTACTTCACTTTTCTTAACAAGTAACAAAAGTAATTTCTTCGAGACTCTATTTCAAACGCCGAGATCAAAACCTGGTTTCTAATCTTTAGAAGCAAGGCTGCATGATATAAGAAAAGATAGAAGAGAATTTTTTGTCCCTGCCCAGGTAACATGGGAAGTACCTTCCACGTCATACGAATCAGTTCCAAGTCAACTTTAGGCTAAGGCGGACGAAAGGATTGCCTTTTCCAGTATGCGTATATCTCTAACCGTTTATGTGTTCAAGAAATATCCCCCTAGATATTATTGTAATGGGAATGCATTGTCTTCCGCCACTGTGCCTTTTGCATTCCTTTTGAAGAAACGTGTTGCCAAAGATGGGGGTAATAATTTGCTAAAGGCCGCCAAGAGAATTGTAAACGGAATGCGGAAGTGCCTACCAATCCCTAAAATGCAATAACTGGTGAGGCCGCATTGTGGTAGTACCTCTACACCTCAGCCGAACCCTATTGTCACACAGGTGGAAGATTTAGCCTAGTCGCGGAGCGACAATGTCGAGAACTAAGCTATTTCCAGTCTTGGTCTGTTCTGTACCTACAAATTCCCCTCCTGAAATTTTATTCGCGTCAAGAGACTATCTCCAGTTGGAAGCTTATCCACCCTAAAAAGATGTTCTCTTTTTCGAAGAAATTTGAAGTTAAGCTCTCTTCTCTACCTCAATTAGTATTATTTGCCATGCAATTGCGCCTAAATTGCCAAATCAGTTTTCTCACTTCTCGAAATTCCTTCTTAATTACCCGAGAGATTATCCAATGTGACACGACCCTTCACCTCTTCTGGATAACGCTCACGCCATTGCCAGACTGAATCAGCTTGAGACATCACTGCTGCAAAGTGGCGCGTCACGGAGTGGAGAGAAGCGTTTCGCAGGCACATTGCCCGCGCAATTGTGTCGTGTCATTATGCGCTAATTGATATCGATTATCGATTAATGTCAATCAATTATCACGCCGAACTCGAATCGCAAAGAGGAGACTTTTCACTTCCATCATCGCGAATCGCTCGTTCAACACACACCTTCATGCAAAGGCCCGCCCTATTTTTAGCTACCATGTCGGTTCTTACCTTTTGTGTGCCATCTGGGGACAGGGCAGTAGGCCACAGCTTCTCGTCACCATGGAAGTACTTTTTGAAGTGCATTTGAAGCATATTTGCGTTATAATGGGGGTAACATGCTACACAAAAAATCAGTAAATGAAAAATGTGGGAGTGAGGTTGGAATTTGACCCACCATTCACATGGTTATTTGTCCTCCTAACACCTTCTTTGTTTACTTCCGCATTTTTGCCCCCTATTTGTATTCGTCAACACGTCATTTTTATCACCTCAGTCGACAAGCCATATTTTAGGTTTTTTTTCAAACATCACGCACAAGATAGCCTTGTGTGGGTGAGTAAAGTGATTTCATAGCGGAAAAAATGGGTGTCGACCTTGTTGATAGGTGTGAAGATGTCTGAGAGGTCGAGGACACCCATGAGAAGACTTTTCCATAAAATTGATTCGCGGTTGGCGGTTCCCTCGGCTCACATCGGTAAGTGGAAGCTGTGAGCCTTGGCTTGTCAGTTGTTTAAGGAAATCTAGTTGCCAAAACAGGAAAGCACACCAGTAAAGCTAAGTACGGTTTATTCTAGTCCTGATATCAAAATACCAGATTTTTTAGAGCCCTATAGATGGAACATTTTAAATCAATTGAAAAGATTTAACTAGTACTTCATTGTATCTCCTGAAATTATCGCCTTTGTTACCTTTTTCTTCTTTGGTCATTAGTCACTCTACGATCTTTACTTGAAAGTAAGATACGAACTGTGACAAAGGCCATATTCTCGTGGGTGAAGCCGTTTTAACGGTTCGAATAGACATTTAGAAGCGAACTTAAGGTCCTAAGTAACCTTTGAACCGACATTTCTGTCGATTACTTGAGTATGTGTCAATGTCAAAATGGGAAACACTTGAACGATGTATTACCGATTGTCCCCACAGTCCTCCAAGGTGTACTGAGGGCGGCATCTTGACTTGCCTGTGTGTACAAAATGCTGATTGTACCCGCCAAGCTGCCTTAACAATAAAATCACTATCAAGCGTTTAACTTTACGGATGCACATAAGAGATGGCCGGCTACATTTCATCAGTACAGCGTGTACCGCTCGTTCACACACATTCGCATCGTTTTACTGCCACTTTGATGCGAACCATCCACTCACTTACTTGAGGCACTGTTTTATTTATAGAGTTTATGGCATGTTCAGGTTAATCAAGTGGCGAAGAGAAACCGAGTAGGGGCTGTTTCTGCGCAAAAAGCAACACCAAGGTACTATGGTTACGGATCAATTACTAACAATCTACCCAACTATATGATCTTATGAGTACCACAAAGGTTACATAACACACTTTCACGCAAAGATGCTTTATTTTCAATCGAATTCAGTGAATTTTAACGGATGGAGAGCCTTGTCTAACATGCTTTAATTGGTCTTTTGCTCCCCGAGTGCAGTTGGTCAATCAGTCAATCACCTATGCAAGAGTTGAGTTGACTGATTTACCATCTACTTTTTTATGAAATTGGTAGCACTCTCAAAGAAGCTGTTAAAGTCTTTTCATTTTGTTGGAAAAGTTGTGACAAAGTTGGCTTCTTTTTTGCTATTCCTTAACAAAGCCTTTGCCTTTGACCTCTTTCACTCAACTGTTCCCTTCCAAACCGCCGCCTGAATATAGCCGTTGACCTTACATTCTGTGGAGAAGGGCAATCGGTTGCACCTACTTGCTCCCAAATCCGCCAGGATATTTGGCTGACCTCGGCCACAAATTAGTTCAATTGAATTCCGCAATTTACATGATCTGGATGGTGGGTGATTCACGACAAATAATCTTGTTCCAACATGGGATCCTCTGCAGTTTGCTTCAAAACATTCACTTGTTTGCAAGCATACTCCAAATAAAAATTGCTCTTCCCTCAAGTTCACCATCTCTCGTCGTCGGATGGCAATTTGATAGCTTTTTTATCTGACAAAAAATTCTCTAGTGCAAATTTTTTGCTCAGATACGTAGAAGAATAACTGGCCTTAATTATTACTGTAATTTGATTGCTCTTTTTTGGCTCTTCATTTCTAAGTGGTTTAAATCGCGTACATGAATTCACTAATTCGTGCTAAATTCGAGCTTGTTCCGATGCCTGTTCTTAATGCTTCTGCGGGAATGTTTTTACTTATTTAATATTAGTAGCAGTATTTAATACCACTGGTTAAGGCCTCGGTTTTATTGCCACATAGGCGTGCGGAAATAAATAAGCCATCATATGAACTATCTCCCACTTTCGATCAATCTATCGGCTTTGGGCACATTTTAGCGTGACAAAATTAAGTTGAAATTAGTGTATGATAGGCTGAATAAAGACGCGATTTAGCCTTTTCATTGGCATTGTTTATCCCTTTGATCTGTATCATTTATATGTTTAGTTAGTTCTCCTCGCTTCCCCTGAACGTCAGTCAATTCAAGACCAACAATATTGGAGTAGTCAAAACACATTAATGTGAGGCCACTCCAGGTTATTTTACTGGCATTAGCCAATGCCCGTGCAGCCTGATCCGCGGAAGTCGTTGATTGGTGGGTGCGGTCATTGATCGAAATTTGTTCGTTGCCCACGTGTCTATGACTGGGATGCACGTACGCACGTACCACTTTCTGTGGGCGCGTGCATGTGCACTATTGGTCAGATTCGCTCAATGCGCAGGAGAAATGAATCGCCTCCTCCATTTATTTCCTACTTCGCTATTTATACCGCTATTCTTTGCTGACATTGGCGCGCGCGCACCGAAGCGTGTTACACATCTCACCCTCACCACCTGACCTCTGCTGAGTCGGCTGTCCCTAATTTGACGGCTAGCAGGGATTGCTGGGATTTTATGCATATACCTGGAGATCAGGTAAACACATTTGCCATGTTTCAGCGTCATATTATGGCATCCCCTGAGCTGATTTTATGCCTGACCTCATTCTCTTGTCAAGGTGTAATGCTATTGTTGCCTATGTCCAATTTTAGTTGTATTCCATTCCCTTTTCCCTTTTAAAAGTTTACAATTCTCAAAAGTTACTTGCTTGGAGCTGCCTTTAAGCGAACCGACATCCTTTCCACCAGGGCGAACTGATAGATATTTAGTGCCTGAATGCTTTAGTACAATGCTTCAAATTTGTCTATGAACACTTTGAAGATCGGATAATGAGCATTGGCTTTCCAGCGTTTCCAGATACTTTATCCTACTTCTACTGAAATTAGTAAGTGTGAAATACCCTTCTTTCAGGTGAGAATTTCACGTTGTATTGTCCCAGCAGTCTTAGGTTTTTTGTTCAATCACTAAACAAAGGCCATTGCACTGCTTCTGGAAACCTGTGCTGCCATTGACTCATCACTAGCATTTATTACGCGTACACACCGCGTCAACGGGCTAAATAACGAAGGGTGTAGGACATTAGGGGACGTCTTTTCAAAAACGCACCATTCCTCTCACTGAAGGTGGCCGCCTAATTGCGGTTAAAAGCAGTGTATCAGAAACGATGCAGTTGTGATTTCTGTAGTCATTTAAAGATGTGTTGCTATAAGGTTTGACATGATTGAATTGTCCCAATTTCTGATCACTATTTCTTTTGTTTGTATTGTAGGAAGTGACACCCTTACGATCTCTGGCCCCAGCGAATTTATCCAACTCCACTGACCCCAGATCACACCACGTGGGCCGATTTGTGGTGCTCAAGGCCACCGTCTCCAACACCAACGAAGAGGCCCCACCGCTAGACGACGCAAAGATGGAAAATGAGCCAAATAGCATATCGGGTCCCCCTGAGAACCACTATTGGACTGTGAGTGGCGGCAAGGGTGTTCTGCTCACCGCACCCGGCGCGCGTCGTTTTGATGTTAGTCGACCGACTAGCGGCGGACCCAATCGCCCCATGCACAGCCGCTTCCGTCAGTTCTTCGTGGAGAATCTTCGTTCCTCCCGTTTGCGGACTCACTCCGAACAGCAGCAAAATCATAACCAAGGTGGCAGCAGCAGCAGCAGTCGCGGCGCCTACCCGATAGGTGAGTCACCAAACAAGCTGAAGCCACCGACAGTCAAATTCGGCGCCGGACTGCCACCCCATGCGCACACCATCACGGCGGGGACGAGCTCGGCGGTCACGAGAGCTCTCCTCCAATCTACACAGCGAGCTAAGGACGACGGGTTGATAGGTGCGGGTGAGGTGAGTCCAGGCACCTCGGGGATGTCATCCTCACCCATGAACAGACAATGTTATCCCTCGGTCTCCCTTACCTCCGTCAACGACAGCGATGGAACGGGCTCCTTCCCGATTTCGAAGAAACGCCTTAAATCAACACACAAAATGGTGCGGAAATTGCTGAAACTATCACCTGGACAAAAGAAACACGTTCATGACTCAGAAGAGCTGCCTGATCCCTCGAAACTACCTCGGGAGCTTCCGCAAAGTTCATTGGAATTCACACAATCTCGACTTAAGAATGCGCCCCGAAGGGTAAGCTGAGGGCTCAGTTTGCATTTATCCCACTATTAATGATCCATCATTAGTAATCTCGAACTGGCAAAAGACGTGATTTAAATTTTGGTAATAATAAGGCCTTGAAAAGTTCGTGGTAAATTACTACTCCTTCCGTTAGAATGCTGAGGTTATGTGAAGTATCTAAAAACATGCTGCCAAATTTTGCTAGACCGACTTTTCCGTATGTTTGTAAAACTCCATTCTTGAGAAAGCGTCTGGCACGTGTTGGTTTTTTTGCCCCAAGCAAGGAGCCATCAACAGTCCTTCATTTGGGGCCAGAAATGGTAGGGGTAAAAGTGAACACCCACTTGAGGTCACTTTAGCAGTGGAATTAGGAGGAGGGCAAAAGTAGACAACGCATCTGTTGGCAGTCCAGCGCTTCCGCTCCCCGAGCCTTGGACCTTTTTTAAATCTGCTTCCAATTCTGTCGCACACCTTGTAATGCTTTAAAGTGGGGCATTTAAAGCCGGAATTTACAGCCTTAAGTATGTGATGAGAGGTATTTGAGCTTTGAAAGTCTACCTAAATGCTTAAGGAATTCATGATTGGGTACAAGGTTTGAAGTTGCATTTCCCATAACCAAACAGAACATTTTAATCGGTATTTCTAGACCCCAACACTTACAACTTTTACTTTTGAGGAAATATTTCTTGATTGTGTCAGCTAAATGGACAAGGACATCTTAAGTGCCTGCTACAACGATTTTCCCTACGCATCAACATTTTTGCGAATCAGACGAAGCCATTATACATCCGAACTTGTGAACTGCAAATGGCACAAATTTGGTTTAGCAAATAACGTCTTACCGACTTTTTGATTGCACCCTAATCATTTCTTTTTTATAACATCTTTAGAGTGTACCCTCCAACAATTACGGACGAAAGGGCAAAACAGGTGAGTCGGATTAGTTCATACCCTCAATTTATGGCACATCACACCTTTGCTTCTCTCCCCTCCTTTTTACTGTACATTTCGAATGGCAGTTGGAGGGGAAAACCCCAATCACCCAATTTGTAGTGGTCAGTCTGTTGTTAAAGTTGAGGAAAGGGAAGGGGAAAGGAGGTCAGTGTAAGCAGTTACGTCAAGTACATGTGTTTGAACTGCGTGTCCTTTCATTCGCGTTTCACGGCCTCGCGGCGTCATTCATTCGTTCATTCTCCTCTCCAGTCTAGACATGCGACTTTTTCTCTACGAAATGAGGTGCTCTATAAAGAAGGTTTTTCATAGAGTTAATCCCTTTTTATTTAATTTTTTTCATTCATACTAGAGCCATTCATGCAAAACAGGACTTTGGCACATAGCCGAACCACAGGGGTACATCCCACTTCTTGATGCTGAGTTTTTGGAACGACCTTACCAACTAGCATAGCGACGAATTCATAAAAAAAGCCTAATGAAATCCGTGGGTCACAAGTCTTTGGTGGCGCTGTATTACAGTGACGTAGGGAACAAGCCGACTCAATATTGAGCTAGTTTGTAACGGCATCCAGGGGAAACAAATCTACCTAAAACTACTTTAATTTCAGCTATGTGTCACAAAGAGTTGCAGGTACAAATGTTCCCAGGTTATGGAATTTATTTACGAGCGTTCGGGCGCTTTCTATCTTTATCCCAGCTGCTTCAACAAAATCGGATGATTCCCCAAATTCGAAGTGCCCAATAAATGGGCAGTAGACTCTCGTATCATCCCTATTTGTCTAATAAAAAGCACTTTTACTGATCTGGGACCAGCACTACCTTGATAGTTAGATTCTGCTGCGTCATTAAAGTGATGAATACTGACAATTAAGTATCCACAAAATATTGACAGAATGGTGCTTTTCCAATGGTCTCAATTTCAAAGTCTCTTTCTGACCAGAGTGGCGTTTGCCAAGCCCGTGACTAATTTTTTTCCTGCTTACAGCAATGTGGAAAAAATGCTGGTTAGAATGGAGCAAATCTTAATTGCAATGTCATTTGGTAAGAACTCTTTGTTATGTGTGACACTGCTAGCTGTAAAAGATCAAAAGAAGGGCTTGCTACCAGAAGGAAGACATCAGAATATCTTTGCTTGTATCGCTTACAAAAAGTGGGAGCTAAGATACATCAAGCACCTTTTATTATTTGTTGCCTTATTAGATTGGCAAAAATTTTACTTTAGAGCCCAGTTGGATGTTGTTTTGCCTACTCTAACGGAAAACGGTATTTCATTACCGGCAATTCTTTCTGTGTTGTTAGTTATGCTTGCAGTCCTTCTACCACTTCACTATCGCGACATATTTAGCGGTCATCCCGTGCTCAAGCATATCGTCTGTGTCAGAGTGCTTTTAGGCCTCAAAGTGGTGGTGTCACGTCTCATGACCTTCTAATTACCCCCTTCTCATGGATACCACTGTGGACATAAAGTAGTGTGGGAATTCGTTAAAGCCAGTATCCATGGTTCATGAGGTCGAACTAAGTGTCCTTCTGTTGTCATCTGACTGCTGGGACCACTTCACAACATCCGAGTCGTCTACGTGGGCGTAATAAGATGCACCAGTCTGGCGGTATGGTCATTGCAGGAAAGTGTTTAAGGCAAACTAGATCTTTTAAGCTTATGAAAGAATAAATTTTAAGGAGACGGTACCTTCATTCAAGGTTGTCCTAGCATCGTCACATGACAGCCTGGACCACTGCTTCAATGCTCACTTTCATTTCAAATTGAAATGATTTTACCGGTTTTCTTCACATGAAGGGGCTCATCCTAAAAATCTTAACCTTTCTTGCCAAAGCTATTTTTCAACTCACTGATATCTTCTGCGGTACTCAAAAGTGTTCGTGGCAAGTGTTCTTGTTGGTGAATGATTGTGTTCACCGTTCCCACAGATTGATTTACCTCTTGTGCAACATCATCATATGACAAGTTGTGTCGGTAGAACATCCAGAACCACACTTTCCATGGTGTGATTGCGCATTTACAGGAGTGACTGCTGTGTCAGTGGGGTGAGAACCGCCACGACCGGAATCGTCACTGGCGTGAAGGTGTGCGATTGGCCACTTGTGAAATGTTATTACTCAAACCACCCGAATGCCCTACTGCTGCATCGTTGTCCTGCATTTGTAGGGTTCGGGCTTGATACTTCAGTTGACAGGGGACTGTAAAACCACGTGATGTTACCCATCATTTGGACTAATGGTGTCTGAACTAAGGCATGACATGATCACGGGTTGGAATAAGTGGTGGTTGGACACACTTGTCACCTGCTACCCTCCGCGGTATTGCCAAAGTATTAAACCCTTTTATAGCTTAGCCTGTTAAATTAAATGTCCCGATTTGATTAAAACATCTATGATGCCTTTGCGCACATACGAGTGGAGAGATCCCATTGGGGTAGGTGGCATGGGTGGGATCGTATGAAAACAGCGTAGTAGTCAAACCACGGGAGATTAGCAAGAGCTGCGTAGCCAAGAGTACCATTAAGTTGAATACCATCCCTCAACAATCCTAATCCGACAGTTTGATGATCATACAGCTCACTTCTCATTCCTATGGAAGCGCCAAATTTGATTTGGTGGTAGAAGAAAAGGTAATGCCTAGAGCCGCTTCAGCAGCAGTCCTACGGGAGTCTTAGTAAGCCTCCGTTCCTGCCCTCAAGCCTTCTTATTCACTTGCGCCACCTCATGGGTTTTCGGTGGGTCGACTATCCCTTTTTGCCCTTCCTACCACAAAGAACTCGCTCCATCCCCTTCCCCTCTGTTTATCGCGCATAAAGTCTATCACCTTGTCAAAGGCAATGCGTTTGATGGAAATCTTTTTGACAATCGGAGCAGAACTGATTTAATTGGACTCCTTTATGGCTTTGAGGTCTGCTTAATCGATTGCCACGGTAGGTCTTTTAATCAACGGTTACAGCTTCCAGTTCCTTCTTTGGAATTGGATCCCAGATATGATTGGGGGAAAGGAATGTTCCATCGGTGCAACGAATTCCTTTCCCTTGGGGATTTAATGCTGTGTGTATGTGCATGTCCACAGGCCTTCTCCTTTCGGTCATCGAGGTCGTGTTCGTGTTCCTCCTCTTCTTCATAACAGATAGAAATATGGGAGAACAATACGGTTATGGAATATTGACTTCCGCTTTGATTGTTTTAACAGTATCAGTGGCATGAGTTTTTTGCAGGTCTACAAATTTTGATGAGGTTTTTGTCTAAAAAGCAAGTATATTTCTAGGGCATACAACTCTTCCTTTCTTAGTAGAAGGAAATACATTGCCTTGGTAACAGCAACCACCATTTTATGTGCATTTCGCAGCCCAAATTAGCACGAAGGCAGTTGCATATGTGGTGGTGCATTCTACCACCGCTTGCACCTTTTTCCACTTCACATCTGCAAAAGCGAACAGAAATACTCGCTTTATAGTTGTGTGTTGAGAAGAGATACGAAAATTTTTCCTAATTTTGTTGTCTTTAGGGCCTCAACTTGACGTAATTCCACGCGTTCTCCCCCAGGGCGGAGCCAGGTCGGAGGAACTCCTGCTCAGTGCCTTTTCGAGGTCACTCTCTGGCAGCAGTAGTCTTGGTAGCAGCCATCATAGCCACGGTCACCACCACAAACACCACGATCACCACCGTGGTCATCATAGTCACGATAGGTACGCCGTCAGTCCCATGGCCTTGACACGAGTCACGGAGAATAGACGCTACCTGATGTTCACCAAGGCCTCTCCGTTCAGGGTGGGTCATATGGAATACACCTTTATAGCTTCGTTATTATGTTTTAAGAACTTGAGTCCCATTTAAGCAGGATATTTTAACACTGATAACCTACGCAATAACACAAAATCCGCCCTACTTTATTGCCAGGCATAAAAAAGGTAATTTTAAAACTCCCCACTAATTTTTTTACTGACTGCAACAAAGGCAAGTCAAATCACCGAAAAGATGGCTTTGAAGGAAGCAGTCTCTTCATCTTTTTAAAATAGAAAAGGATTGAATCCGGTTATCAAATCTTGCTAAAAATCATCATTCTTCCTATCAGTCTAGTTGATTTGGAATTCTCCAAAGTCAGAAGGATGGCTCAAATAACACTTGTTTCAGGCAAAATCTGAGAATCGCTTTCAGTCCGTGCGAATACGTGCTCCCTTTTATCACTTTAAGTTGAAGATAGAGAAAAAGAGGCAATTTCTTCCCATACCCGGGGCTCTCAATTCGTGTGCGGATGAGATTTTAGGAGTGAATGCAAGATGATACGAATTATACGGAATGAAACCGTTAATCAGAGTAAATGGCTGGTCTCAACAATTTGTTTGGTCAGGTATAAGTGTCCGAAATGTCAAGTTCCTTTTGGACTTTACTGGGAAATTATCATCTCTGTGGGCGGAGGGGAATTAACTCCAAAATCCTATCTTTCCACACTCAAGGAAGGTACGTACGACAGCAATCGGATGCACTTTGCTGTGTAAGGGGATGGGGTTGGGGGCTTCCTATACACAGCAGTTTGGGGTCTTTTTCATACAAATTTCCTCACCTGCCACTTTTCTATTCGCCATGTGAGGTAGTCGTAGAAAAATGATATGGAAGTAATTTACCGCATGCTGTTAGGTAGGGGATACTTGGTGCTGAAGTTCTCTACACGATTACCATCGGCTTCACACACGTGACGTTTCGATTTGCCCACCCGAGTTTGGCGTTGTAGACATCTTTCATGTGCCTATAACTTGGCAAGGTCATGACAACCGATTGCATCAAATCACGTGTCGGCAGCATATGGCTTGAGTCTAGATTAACGAGGCAGATGCGAAATCCTTTCCGTCGGGATACAGCTGCCGTGTTGTTTGAGCAACAGATGGTTTGGTCAGTTTGGCAAAGTCACTGTTAAAACAGGACTCGGTTAGATCCTTGCCTTTAAATGGAATACGTAAGGTAATTGTACCTCTCTCCAGTGTAAAATGAGGCGTTTCCATTAGACCAAGTTTTTAGTTGAATAAAAGAATTGTTTTGATTAACTGTTTACTCTACCAAAAGGCCAAAATTAGCAAAATTTTTTCGTCGCAGAAAAGCACCTTTTGCCTCTAGATCGTCACAATGATGAATTACGCATTAATATACCACAAGAAAAAAGGCCATTGAATGGCTGTATTCCGATGGTGCTAGTAGTGCTTGCCTTTGGTGTTCCAAAATAAGCCCTCTGTGTGACGCAAGAAAAAGTACAAGGACACCATGTATTCCATTGATGCTCCTTTTAACCCAACCTGTAAGGTACCGTTCCCGTCACATAGCTTTCCCTTTCACTGCATCCCCTGCCAACGCACGCGCATTGGTAATGCCTCGCAACACCCAAATGCGATTCTTATCCCCTCTCCTCTCTCCTCTCTCCCACCATAATGAGGCCTTGGTTACACCAAATTAATTGGTCTGCAACAAATAATGCTAAACTCCACCCACTCCTAGAAATTGTTTTCCCAAAGAGTCATATTTATGAGACTATGGGAGCAACAGTCTGGACACCCTCAACCCCAATCGGCACATCAAAATGGCCTCCGATTAGTCACTCACATTTGGCGTGTGGCTGATGCATCAATTCAGACAATCAAAATTCGTTGGAGAATTTTTTTACCGCTAAAAGCCAAATTGAAAATTTTCTACGCAGTAAAACGAAGTGAAATTTGAACCACAAAACCCCTCCTTTTCCTAATCCACGTCAGCTTGCGAAATAGCCACATTTTTCAATCTGGTCGTGCCCTGACCCTCGAAAACTTCATTGCTGACGCAGGCAAATAGGGAACGGTGTTTGAATGCCACAACAAAAATGCTGTTTTGAGGGTGTGTCTTTGATCGTCCCATCTTTTGGGCTTTTACGAAACAAGCGTTCCGCTTTACAATTGACAGGAATTGGGAATTTTAAAAGAAATATCGTTCGAAGTATGTTTAACGAGATGGTGAGGTACGAACCCGCCTTGGAAATTGAAACTTGAAGAGCAATATCTTGCGAAACTTTTGTACAAACTTAGCCATGACCCGCTTTCTTATCGGGGAGCAACAGCACGCTAACAAGGCGTTCCCTAAGGCTCTGTGTGAAACCATGGTCTCAGTCCCTATTGTTCGGCCAATAACTTAATCGGGGTAGAAGTATGAATGCTAAATTCTAGTTCCAAAATCACGCCGTATAACTGACACTGGCACGCATTTACGCGGTAGCTTTGGTGCCAAGTGACCTTCGTTCGCCAACCACCAAAGCAGACACCACTACTAGCTAATTTTCTTTCCTAACACGTTGGCTTCGCTGAAAAATGTCACGGCAGCAGATTAGTGATGCCTTCTGCACCTATCTCCTCCTCCTCCCATCACCAGTGCCCAAGGGGAATCATGCGATGTGACACGGTTGTTATTTGCTGCCACAGCTTTACCCACACTTTAGTTATCAACGGCACAAGCATGAACAGAGGGAAAGCCAGGTGTGTATGTGCACACAAGTTTTGAGTTTTGCGGGGAAGACCGTTTCAAGCCTAAGGCTGATATAGACACACTATTTGGACAACCACCTACGGAGAAATGCCTCCGCTGTGCAATCTGAATCGTGGACTGAGTAAACACTTCTGTGCCAATTAAACTTTTTTTTCAAGTCCAACAACTGTCGAGCCTTGTACAATGACTCCTTAAACTATCAAGTGTGATGTATTTGGAAAACATTCTTAAACGGCAGTTTTTTTTTTTCAGTCACCGTACGAATTCCTCCAGACTCGCGGAAAAGGACTAAGTAAGTATCAACCGTCGAAGTCATGCGCCGGTCTACCTTCACTCTTTCCCCTCTTCACCCAACTGCTTTTGCTGTTTTTGTTGTTGCTGCTTCAGCCTGAGGCTATGGGGGTTCCATGGCCCTCTAAGTGCGAATGTGTCTTTGCTACGACTGAACATTAAAGTAATGTTTTTGCCTCCTCCTCTCGCAGGTGAATCCGAGGTCTACACGGTGCTCTTCCGGCACACCACATGCTACGAACTGATGCCAGAGAGCGCAAAGTTGGTCACCTTGGACAGCATGCTTCCGGTAGGTTCTTCAAAACGTCATATACCAGGCTTGTCCGCTGTTTCATTTGCTTCACCAATTACCAATGCTGCCACTTTGAAGAGGTGACAGTTGCAAGCAGTCGATGTATACGCAATTATAGCTCAAATTTCAACTTGCAGAGGTCACAATTAGCACTGCTATTATCTCCACCCTCTCCATACGGCTGAATTACCTCTTAGCTGGAAATTAGTAGCTCTTAAGTGAAATCGGAAAAGTTGAGTCCATATAAGGAATGGAAAAGGAGGAATTTGAAGGAGTACAAACACCACTCTTTTTTTCTAACACTTGGGAAAATTCGTCAATACAACTAAACCATCATGGAATGGCGTGCGCCTCTTGGTGTCCAGTGTGCTCTGGACTCCTGAAATGGCAAGCTTTCGTGTTGGCGAATGATTTCGCTCACTTTTCGCACAAAGCCAACGTGTCGATAAGACGTCCATGTTCAGACTACTCACAAGCTGACTGCGTGCTCACAGGAGTAACTGCTGTTGTGGCGGGGTGAGGAGCACCAGGATCGGAATCGTTACCGGCGCAAAGGCGTGAGGCTGGCCACTTGTAAAAAGAATACTCAAACCTTTCAAATGTCTTACCGTTGTGTTTGTATGGCTGGACTTGGATTCTTCTGTGATTAACAAGGGGCTTCAGCAGCCATGAACAAACTACTACTGCTGCTTGTCATCTTGGTTAAGCTTGTCAAGACCAGGCAATGACATTGATATGGGTGATTATGAGTACCAGTTGAATGCAATTGACACTTATTACCGCAATGGTAACTTCCCTTCCCATAAGTGAACGCAATTCTTATTTTATCGCCCATTCGTCAGCACTTCTCGAAAGGCTTCAATTTCTGATGTTACCTTATGCGACAATAGTGATTGCATTCTATCAAAGCCAGATTGATAAAGTCCAATTTCACTCTTCGTGTAAGTTCTGCTTCCTTGCCCTCAAGGTCGGAAAGGCATTCCGGGCACTCTGCGTGAACGGGATTCGAGCCGCACCAGTGTGGGATTCGGAGACACAGACGTTCTCAGGGGTTCTCACAATAAACGACTTCCTTGAAATGCTTACCTACAGTTGGCGACGGCAGATTTGTAACTCCGCCAGAGAGGGTGAGAAAACGGCGGTTGAGGACATCGAATCCACACCTATCAAAAAGTGGAAGGGTAAGTGGTGCCAACGAGGTCAACATCAGTTTATCTTGACTCTTATTTAGTCTATTTGTGAAAGATTAAGTTTTGATGCTAAGGGATGCACGTACTTTTATGCCATATTCTCTTAGTGAGTAGATGGAAAGCTCACCATTTTCATTTACTACCCCTATTAGTTAAAAGCTTCTGGGTTGGTTTCAGTGAATCCTGTTTAATATGACGTAGATTTACCGCCTTTGTTGACTAATTAATATGAAGATTGGATTTTGTGTCAAACGTTGTCTTATTGTGGTGCTGCCTCCTTAAGCAACCAATCAGTGCTGCGCTCTGAAAAGCCCTGTTGGGATAGCCTATTAAGCGAACGACAACAGTTTGACGGCGCGCATGTCAAATGAGTGAAGCGAAAAGGCTACTAACTAGGGTGGATCAAATGCGTTATGATAATTTAAATCGCATATTTTCCTTAACCCCATATTCTCGCGTTCGAGGCCTACATTAACTTCCCTCGGAGTCATTTGTCTTTCTTGCGTAAATTCCGAGCACTGTTTCATGCCATTAAACCAAAAAATTATTTTGCTAATGTTTCCCTATTTTTCGTCCCCAAAGGCAAAAGCAGCTAATCTCCTCGGAGTTTATGGGGGCAAATTTTATTTCCACCTTTCTTGCCCTAAAGTTTACGCATAAGATTCATTTTGAAGTCAAGTAAACACAGAAATCTTCGCTTTACACTTACTTCCGAACTATCGAGTCTTTGTCTAGAAAACCCTCATTCATAGTGCCAAAGCTATCCATTTGAGTCTTAAACACCTCTCTGGTTCCATTTTCCAGTCCTTTTTAAAATTTGGTTGTACTTACTGAAGATTACTACAAAACTTCAGCTAAAGAAGGTAGGGGCATGGGCTCAAACAAAAAGGGGGCAAAATGTCCTTTACTTTCTCTTGAAAATTGGTTCCTTAGTCTATGTATCATTAAAGTTTCCTCTTCCCCCGAGAATTATTATTAATTAGCAATAATAATTATTGTAGGAAGGAGTCTTTGAAATGCTTCCTAAAAAAAATAACGATTCTTCAAGTGGAGATATTTTGAGTCTGGAACGTAGCTAAATGAATTTAATGCATTTATCCAAAAACTATTCCTTTCCTTTTCTGTTATGATTTACTTTTGATGGCACTTTTACTACGCATCAAAACGCCCCCGTACGTCGCTTTCCTCAACTTTTCTGAATTTCCAGTGATTTGCCTTTACTTACATCGGACGCCTCAAAATGGAATTCATGACATCTTGGCTGTAGTAGTCGATATTATCATGAGATCCTCTGGTAGGGAACGGACCATCACTTTCTGGTACACAGTAGATAACGAACGAAAGTGGTTTCCATTGATAGTATGGTTGGCCAAAATGAAATGACCACACAGAATTGTCAAAGAACGTAGCTAACCTTCGGCCCACACAAACGAGCTATCATTTTTGAAGGAAGGCAAAAGTTGTCGTAGAACTAAATAGTCTGATGAAGTGTTAGTACATTATCCTTCAAATGTAATTTTTCCCACACATTTGCTTGGATTTATTTTCTCGAAGAAAGTGCTTTATATTTACCCGAGTTACATTTCACCATCAGATCGTTGCTTTGTTGATAAATAGTTAAACTGCTCATCTTTTGAATCCATGCAGAAATTCGTGCCCGCACAAAGAACCGAAAATTCTCCGGAATAGGCCCGCATGATACGATCCATGAAGAGGATGAAGAGGTTAAGGAAGAGCAGGTGAAGGGAGAAGGGGGGGATGGCGAAAGCTGCTCCAGTAGTTGTAGTAGCAGTAGCAGCAGTGATAGTGACACCGACGATGGCGACGGTGATGACGATGATGGTGGAGACTCTAACTCAGTCGCGTCAGCTCCCTCTCAGTTGGGCGAATTGGAGCACACTCGGATTCACTCCGGCCACCACCGTCAAGGCTACAAACACCGTTCGGTGCGAGTCTGTGAATGTCGTCGGATGGGGGGCGGGTGCAGTATGCGTTTAAAGCATCACCGGATGGGCGGGCTGACTATCATCTACCCCGAGGACTCACTCTATACTGCGCTGCGCCTCCTTGCGCACTGTAAACTCCACCGCCTGCCTGTCTTTGATGATCCAGTCGGTGGAACCGGTAACCCTCTTTTCGTACTCACTCACCGATCTCTCCTCGCCTACCTCTACAAGAAACAAATCGACTTGCCCAGACCCAAGTACCTCCAGGCAAGCCTTCAAAGATAACTCCTTTTCCAGCTGCGTTGGACACTTTTGACCATTTTAAACGCCATCAGGTTTCCAAGCCAACAGGTATATCGGAAGTCAGTTTTGAGAGAAACCTGGTTCAGTCTAAAGCAATAGCAAATGCGGTATGCATTAGACATCTTTGATCCAGCAATCAACCGTAACCTTGTAGGAATGCTCCTTCGTTCAAGAAACACCACTGACAAGTATAATACATACTTTCTTGTAGGTGTTTGGAAAATGCCTTCACTTGTATTACTTCGAGAATTAATTTTGCAGGCAGGAAGTTGTTCGTAAAAGTTGCGGCATCTTAAATGGTGAAATAAAATTCATGGCAAAACTTGTGAAGACCTCAAAAATGAGTACCTTACGAGCGAAATAGGGCGATTTTAGTCCTCATCAAATTTCTAAAACTCTGGGCTAGACCATTTCGCCTAATACGGAGGACAATATTTCCCCTTTAGGACCATTTTCAAAGTAGTGGGTACTTCAACGGTAACGTTTCTTCAAAGGGAAGTTGTTTGGATTGGTATGAAAACAGCCTGATGTGAGGTGGTTCTAACGTCGTTGTGATCACCTGTGAAGGCTATACCATCGAATATTCGTCTTGATAGAAAGCTGTTTTGGTCTTGCATGAACATCTAAATTCGCTGTTCGATACTTTGATCACTGTAATGCTTCTGGGATCATAGACTTTTAAAAGCTTAGTAGAAAAGAAAGCAGTTTCTTTCAAGGAGCAATAAGGTGTATATTTTCTGCCTTGCCGACTATAACTTTTAATACCGGCGGTTTTATTTATCATTCCTTCTACTACTGTAATTGCGAAGATTCAGTCATAAAAAGCCGGTGTCCTTTAAGTTTTTGGCTACTCAGCACAAACCAACTTCTGTGGCTGCTCTTTCAGCGATAAAAACAACATGAATTGGATGTTCGAATCCCAGTAAAGGGAGTTGTTGTGCCTTAAATTACCTTTGTTTGCTGTGGGATATCTTATAAGCCGCAAACACCTAGCAAAAGCGCCTTCAGTACCATAACACCCAGAAAGTACCACCACGTTGCATCCCTAAGTTAGTTTTGATGCTCCTGAACGTTAAGCATGTGGTTGCTGACATTTAGATTGAGTTGTTGAGAGACCCTTTAGTCATTCACTCGGCGCTTTTCCAACTTTAGTGAAAAGGCTGCCTTGGAAGAGGGGAAAAGAACGGCGTGTCTTTTGCGCACAGAAGACAGTATTAGTAGTGGCAGTGGTTACTCGTCTTTCCTTCCGAGATGAACCGGAAGCAAAACCCTAATTTATAGATGCTTGAGGGGAGAATGGGGTGCCATGAAAGTGAAGTCGTTGTTACAATAAGTGCATAACCCTTAATGGGGTCTTTCCAAAACCTAGATCAGCTACAAATTCACATCCATGGTCATGAATCCACTTACACTCTCAAAATTTGCACTCGTTTCTGCCGTTCTGTGGAACTGCTTCAGGTTAGTCGGCGTCCAACTAAGACCTCGTTACCCATTCCCTCGAGTTCTCGAAGAAACTCACAGATGTTTTGACAGATTGCGCAAATCTTGGTAAAAGTGTAAGCTGATCAACCAAAAGGCCTATCCCGTTGCTAGTCGAGCACAATATCTGGTCCATTTATCGCGCGCGTAGATGAAGGGAGTGTCTCTAGTGGATGTCCTTCGCGTCCTTGCTTAATTACATGTCCCAGCAGTATTATTCACCACTTCTCATGCATTGAGAGCTGATCTGCTTAGTTGCTTTTGGTAAACTAGTAATTAAAACAGTCATTTTGTTACCGGAAGGATATTTGATGTTGAAATTGTACAGTCACTTCAAAGTGGACCTTTGTTACTGTGCAGAGATCGTAAACATTGACATCGTCACCCCAACTGCCGTAATATGTACCTTAGCGCTCTGTGTGTGACTGAAGTCTTTCCAACTGAGCCCAAGGCCGCTACTGCAGTGCGTGTGTGGCGACATTTTCAGCTAAAGTGTCCGGAGGCACTAAAAACCCCACCCGTTCGGGTGCTCATGCAACTTACTTAAAGCAAGACAAGGCACGACTTGACAATCATTAATTTTGCACAGGGGAATAGGCAATAGGCTTAGCGACTTTTCCTGGGTCTTAATGACAGCGAGACCAACATGACAGCACGCAATAGCCTTTGATCTTAACAGTTAAAGTATTTCATGAAAACTACTTCGGATCATGTCTTGAGGGCTAGGAGAGAGTTTAGAAGAAGTGGACCACGGTGCTGGCGGCCAATTTAAAAGTGGCATTTGACATCCTCTATGAAATGTTGATTATGTTCGGGAAACTCCTTCAAAAATACTAGTGAAGAAAGAATGGTTAATAAGTTCCATTCCACCTGCGACGATCTTATTTTTGAATGAGATGGATCTGTTCTCCCTGCTCTTCTTGAAGGCAGTACGGCGTTTCCAAATTCACCTGTGGGCCACCGATCCGAGCTGATAGGGAAGATGAATATCATGGCAAGCCCTGACGGTCTCCTTTTTTTATCCAAACAAGGCAGATGCCCTACCCAAAAGCTTTATGTTAGGCGTCGGTTGTCTTTTATCGCGGAATTGAGGGAACAGTTACCATTAGAGAGGACGAAAAAAGTGTTGACACAGGAATTTGCAATCTTTTCCAATATTAGCATATTCACCGAAATTTTAAAAAATTTATATTTCCGGATTTTAGAGGGAAGAAGTCTCTTGAACGCAAATTTGACGCTCATTTACAGACAGACAGAGATACTAGATGTGGATGTGTAGTGCAAAATCCAATGACCGCCAACCGTTGCGGATGCTTCTGAACTCCCTGGTTCACTACTCCCGATTCTGTAATAGCTCATGCAACCATAAATGTAGGCTTGATCGCACTATCTCTGGTACATTTTAGCCATAGCGGTAAGAGAAGACTTGCTACAAGTTCTAAATTTGATGGATAACGGGAAGAATTTCTAAGAAATGGGACCCGAAGTCATTAACTCTAGCAAATATAGGTAGACATTCCCTCCTAATGTTCAGTGGATATAACATGCTTGTTTTGCTTAATCTTCCCATTGCTGTAGGCGCCACTGAAGGAGGCACGGGTGGGCACGTACGAGAACCTGGCACTGGTGCTGCCCTCCACCAAGTTGGTTGACGCACTGGCCTTCTTTGAGGACGAACGGGTCTCCGTCCTCCCCGTAGTCGACTCCTTAACCAACCGTCGCCTAATCGACATCTTCGCCAAATTCGACGTCATCGTAAGTGGCACGATGCATCGAAGTTCAAACCAGTACCTTTCAGGAAGACCTCTTTCAATTAGTGAGATGAATATTTTTGTCGTTTGTCAGCGAAATCTACAGCACAGTAGCTACTTAAGTTCGATTTTTTGTTGTGCAACAGTGGACCATATTCATGCTAGTGCCTCTAGTGTCAATCGCCTGGAAGTAAGCGAGGAGTTTCTTCGTCCAGACTTGAAGACAAACTGGTCCTTTCAATACGATGGATCGGTTGGCACAGCAACACTTCCGTCTTGTAATTTTGTCGTAAGGCCGATGGCAAACTATGAGGAATTCTGTTTTTGTGGATTAAAGTCTATGTCGATAATTAAGAGCATCTGGAGCCATCATCCCCTTGAATGCAGCCTTAATATTGCTGGAGTGAACTGCTTTCCATGCTGATGGAAGGTGTCGCCCATTTTCAATCTAATTAGAATGGACACATCTATTAACATTAATAATAAATTACCAGGAATAATTACTTGCTCACAATCTCGAACATACCCTAGATGGAGGAGTTAGTAAGCACAGTATTACTTAGAAAATTTGAAAATCCAATCCAATTTCAATTCAGTACATTTGATTACCAAGTCTACTAAATTTCATTTAAGCGATTTCGTTAGCCAGCTCCTTGCATACCTTCGTTCCTTCACTACACCTGTATTTTAGCCTAAAGAACTGCTAGCAACTTGCCTTATTCGTTCGTTAAGTGGAGGCTCTCAACTCAAACAAGACACGAAGACTGACCAAAATAAATGTTAATGATACACTATAATTTATTCAAATTTCGGTTCAGATAAGCCAGTGCGTATTGGTAGCTTTGATATGATCAAAAATTCCATAACACAATGGATAGTTTTAGGTTTGAACCCCGAGACTGGACCTTGTCACTACCATTTACGCCTGTACATTTACTTCCCCGACAAAACTTTAGTACGCCTCTGTGTTTTAGCCTGAGGAACTGCTGGTAACTTTACTCATTCCTGTTTGTTTGTTCTCGCATTATCAACTATTGCCATTAGGTTTTAACCTCAATTTTTCATCTTCAACTACATTGTAGACCCTAATTCTGGCTGGGAAGCACAAAAAACCCGACATGACCGTTCAGGATGTCTTGGATATCTGCAAGGTGTGCCATCATCTTACTTTTCTTTGGTATGACCAAACCAAACGTATATACATTTTGGAATTTTATTTCTTAATATTTTACTCATTAGCAATTACAGCCATTTTACCTTTGCCATTGTTTTCGGGGTCAGAAAGATCTACTCTTCTTGGGATAGGGAGGCAAAACAGCAGTGCTGTAAGCGCCTATCACAGGAGTTCACACGCACCTGACTTTGGGGGAAAATTTTTTTCCTCTCTCCTATGTTGCGCGATATGAAAGCGGAATTGTCTTTTTTTTATTGCAACAGGGACACGATTTGCGCCTAGCTGTTAACACTCGTCATAATAATCATTGCCCGAGAAACTTAAAACAGGTCATTAAAGCACCGTGATTGTCTCACCTTTCCTCGGAGAGTACGGTTTACAATGGCTTTATTAAAAGGCGCGACTTGTATCGGAGTCTTACTAGGTGGTTGAATTAAACTAATTCAAGCCGTTATTTCCTCTACCAATTACTCCATTCGCACCCCTCTTTTTGTCCTGGTAACGTTTCCCTTAGTTTCCCAGATTAATAAACTCAGAGGCCCTTTGCCTCACGTCAATCGGGCAAATAATATAACGATAATATAACGTTTTTATCCACTTCAGCAAATCCATCGTGGTGTTATACCCATCCCAGAGGGACAGAACATGTTCGATGTGGAAATCTGCCGCACCACCGACACCATCCAGTTTGCCCTGAACAAGCTAATGCGGACTGGGGTGGGTGAAGTCCCCCTTTCTTTCTTCTTTTCCTAAAATTAAGCCCGAAAAGTCACGTGCTTTTACACCCCTGACGCAGTTACTATTGCATGGCTCGTGCAAGTAGTGCATCAGCCAACTAACCCCTCTCCCACTCCCCATCTCTTAGGTCTGACAGTTAGAACCTCATTTACGCAGCTTCCATACACTACCGGGAAATGCCAAGGTCAAATATGGTGGCATGCCTGTTCATTGGTAGGCGCTGATAGTCATGGCTGAGTGCTTAGTGCCATATGCAGTGTAAATAGCTTCCTTCATTTGGTTTCCATGTTTTACCTTTAATTTCTGTTCTCAGAATGAACCTCATGCATAATTCATGACAGCATTAGAAACTAATTAGCTTTGACTAGCTAGTGATTTGGAATATTTTTTTTTTGCTTTCACTCTGAATTTAGTGTCTTTGAACAGGGCGCAACTGCTATTTTGGCCAGGAAGCTACTGTTTTGGCAAATCGTTCTATCATAGGTAAATAAATTGCACCACCCAGCACTTTGACATTCCTGGATAAGCTGCCTCATCACGACGAGACTGTGTGAGCGGGAAGTGTGTGTGTGGTTCGGATATGCGAAATTTCTCTCTTGCGCTTGCAGTACCATCGACTGATAATCGTGGACAACTCAGTGGACTGTCGAGTTGAGGGCGTGGTGAGCATTTCGGATCTACTCTACTACATGGTCCTGCGTCCCTCACCTCGCGGCTCTGTGGCACCCTCACAGACTGGCACAACTGCTAAACAGCCGGAGACGGACTTGGCGGAGGCGAGCGCGAGACCAACAGGGACGGGGGAGGATGACACAGCACCTGACTGGCTTTTCTACTCCGAACAGGACCCCAACGCTTTGCGTAGAAAGCCCTGCGTCCCTCTGGTGAAGTATCTGCCCAATTCCACCTCTAGTCTCAACGGCAAGGAGGGGGCAACAGCTCAGAGGCAGGAGCGTCATCGATTGCGTGTGACTTCAGGGAGCTCTGTGACTACTGTCACTACCAGCACTGCATCATCCCGCTCCTCGTCTACCGCATCATCCTCCTCTTCCACATCTTCTACATCGTCTACGGCCTCTAGCACGGATTACTCTTCCTCCTCTGCCTCCTCCTCGAGCTCTTCCGCTGACAAGGGCTCTAGGTCGCGTTCTAACTCACCGAAGGCCACTCCCACTGCTGCCAAGACAACGACGAGGGCAATGACGGCGGCGAGAGACACACGGAGGGCACCAGTCGATCGAAGGGGCGGAGAGAGGACAAGGACGAAGATGCTTAACTCCTAAGAACCGATCTACAAGCCTTTCATTCATTTCGCCTCAAACCTACTTCACTTCCTCAAAACAGCACCAATCACAGCCACGAAACCACACGAGCGCACTAGCCAACCACCCACCTATGAACGACATCCCTGGTCTTTGTTTATTTTTCCAGTGCTTGTTAGAAAGAAAAGACTGACCAACTAACTAACACCCACACACTACATATACGGCGCGTGTAAACAGACTGCGTACATATATTTTTATCGACGACCAACTTCAAGGTTGCTCTATCCCTGCTGTTGACGTTGTTCACGCCATCGCACCGGGCGCCGAGAGCACAAGTAGCCTCCTGGTGGCATGTAAACGACGCAGCTAGCTCCAACCGCCCCCATTCGAGACAAAAACAACGAGCTGTTGTGCGGTAACTTTTGATTACACACCCAAGCCTACTCTTTCTCGCTCCTGGGGAAGGAGACTGAGCCCTCCGCCCAAATCAAAAGGAAAGCCAGTGGACAATCTGGTCAGTTTTATTGATAACAGAGATCCCGGATAAATGCAAACTGAACCCAAAGTTGAAAGTGGGAGGAGGAGATACACGCAATTATAACAACAGAAAAGGGCGGGGCGGACGGGGGAGAGAACGGTACAAACAAGGCCGCCATCAATAGCGATGCTGCTGCTGTCGCAGTGCATAAAAGGAGGCATTTTCGTGTATGTACAATGATGCAGACAATCGACTCCCCTCCGCTGCAAACAAAGGACATGCGAGGTGTGCTCCTAGAGGCAGAAAGGAGGGAAAAGACAGAAAGTGGGGCAATTGCGCTTGAACGCATTGAGACAGGACCCACACGAAGATGGGTGTCGCTCACACTGTCTATGACTGACGTTTCACGCGAGGACGAAAATAAGAATGCCTTCAGAATTGTTAAATTGATAAATTAATTCGCTTTAGGAACACGCATAAGTTTTCAGCCTTAGCATATCGCAGTGACGATTTTAAAACCCTTTGTCGAAAAAATGGCAAACTTAATTGGGGAAATTTAATTGTCTATGCATTAATGACCCTCGTCAGGTTAAAAATTATTCAATCACAGAAAATTTGGACTAGTAATAAGGCTTTCGGAGTCAGTCTTTTGCTCACATTCAATACCACGTAACTTTTAACACGTATGATGACTTAAAAATCCCATCCCAGTTACGTCCAGCGTGTTCATGTGGGAAGACCTTCGCTGTGCGATAAAGAGGTGGGAGGCGAATAAGCGCTTCACTTCCCAAGTAATGACAAATGCTGTACGGATAGGTTAATACATTAACAGCTTCACTCCGTGCGAATTCACAGGTGAGCAGCAACGCATTCCCTGTGAGAGGTGGTGAAAACACACATCACCTAATAGTGCACGCACATACATCTACACAAAAGTGGGACCACGCCTGGGGTAAATGAAGTACAAATTCGGCCCAGAACCCAATGCGCGCCATAAATACCACGCAGCGCGGTGGGCAATGCCCCTACTCTGACAACTCAACACAAAGACAACTTTAAGTAAAAAACAAACTTTAACTAGTTGTTTTTTTCAAAAAATTTAAGCACTAAGCCTACCAACGACCCTTATCGGCCAGTGCAAATAGACGAGGCAAGGAGAGGAAAAAAATCAGGGCACAACAAAGTGATAGGAACAAGAGCAACAGATTCCCGGTTCGCCGGAAGGGGCTTTTCAAAGTCGTAAAAAAACGGCCTAAAGGCATATTCCATAAACTGTTCTCACTTTCATCTGGTAGAAAAAATACATTGAGAATCTCGTATACCAATGACGTAAAAATAGCTTACACCCCGACATTTTTGAACATGCAGAAACAACCCTTTCTCGAGGGTTACATTGACATATATTAGAGGAAGGAACACGACGATACAATACATTTAAAGTCGTGATTGAAATCCAGTCAGGTGTTGTGAAGGAAGGGAGAATGGATTCACTGTTGCATTTGCTGTTTAGTTGTTTTTGCTGTTTTTTTTTGCGCGCAGATGATGGAGATGGTGTGTAATGTTGAATGTAGATTGAGTAGTAGTAGTAGTGGCGTGGTGACTGCCGCCTATTCGAGTGGGGTGAGGTGGTGACACAGGCATGAAGAAGGGAAGAAAGGAATTAGGTAGGAGAGGGTAATGTGGCAAATACCTAAAGCTACTCAAATAATTTCAGTAAACAGTATGATTCAAAAGCGGAACCTACCAGCACTCAGTTGTCCCCCTTATTGTTGATGCCAGACGCAACGACGGATGCGGCGGACCCAGAAGATGGTGGCGCGGCCCCCCCGGTGACTTTACCGGAAGAGAGGTGCCACCCGTTGGAGGAGGAGCTGCTACTAATGGGAGTGCGTGAATAACGACGTTCAGCAGCGCCCGAGCTGGAGAATGCGAGACGCATAACGAAGGGCACCCGATCACCCGGCGAAGGGATAACAGTGTGATTGCAGAAGATGAGTGCATCACATGCCTCCTCCACGGAGTTCCACTCCAACACCCCCGAAGAATTACGCTCGTTTTTCTTGAAGAGGCTCACCACACTAGAAGAGATGAGGACAGGTGGGAAGGCGTAGAGTGGGGGTGCTGGTGCCGAGCCTACTGCTGTGCTGGTATTAGTCAAAAAATGGCGCAAAATAGCAAAGACACACGCATGCGCGGCCTGAACATATGTCAGCATGAAATAAATTCGTCACACCTTTCAGGTGCATATTGTTTAAATACTTTAGCTGGAAAAGGGAATAATATATATGATGACCAAATATGGTCGCGTGG